TAAGCCTGCCTTAAATTATTCGCGACCATCACGAAGAGGTTATGAGCATAATTAAGAAAAAATGATATGAATGAAAAGTTTGCCTTTACTTTGACATTTTTACCAAATAAATTGTGATAAATAAAGTTAACAAGTTTCCCTCTTGACTGGAAAGTTGCCAGGAAAATCAGGAAACCCGAGATTTTTTTGAATAGTGGGAAAATTGTATAGTGTGCTACAGACATGTAACCACAATATCTCCCGTTTCATCTCAACAATTTGATTGAACGAAGAAACGTCATTTCCAATTCTGTGACCGCAAGGTAGTGGGGAATAATCATTTATTGTTAGTTAGGAAAGTTTATCAAGGCACGAAGAAATTGTGTATTCGTCCAAAAAATAAAAATTCAATGTGAATTATCTACTAATGGTGGTGGGTAATAAATAGGAAATGTTGATTACTGTACGAATTTGGACCAACTTTAATATCTCCTGTTTCTGTTCAAGCATTTAAAGGTATAGGAGGGCATCGCTATTGATGTGCTTGTAAAGTGTTGTACGATGGGCAAGCTTAAAGAAATTAAATATGAATTTGTGTTTTGTCTTATTGATTATTGATTTTCTGGGAAAAATCTCATAATCCTAAGGGTTTGTTTGACGTAGGTTATGAATTTTTCCCTACCAATCGTTTATCTCATTTTCTAAAGTTTCTATGCTCTTTCCGCGATCAATATTTCAAATCGATTCTTCCTCAACCTCAAGGCCATACACACAGCACACAAAACCTATCAATAGACAAGGCCGGTAGTAATTACGAGGCGAAACTTCCGTCGTCGTCGGTGGCCGCGTGTCCGGCTTCGCTCAATCGTCGCGCCCGACCGGACGGACGTGAGCAGCCGAGAAGCTCGGCACCGACTCCCGAAGAGTTCATTCTCTGACCCGGCTACCGTATTCCTCGCAGAATAGGGGAGATGGGAGAGATGAGACCATGTCGTGTATGTGTAGTGCTTGAATCGGCTAATCCGCACAGTAAGGGGGCTGTCTTCTCCTCCTCCTCCCCCCCCCCCCCCCTCCCCGTGAAGTGCACTTGACACTCACTTATAGAGCCACGCGCGTAACAACCAACAAAACCCATCATCATTATGATGATTACGGGGTAAAGTAAGTACAACAAAATGATTTTGATTAAGTGTGAGATGATGTGATAAGCCGAAAAGAGGCTGTTGACGGGTCCACCTTTGTGTGCTCCACGGATTTTTTGCCATGGGCGAGAGAGGGGGGGGGTTGTTTTGTGCTGCACATTTTTCGTCACGAAGAACGACGTCACTTTTCACTCGCACCTGATCATTATCGTTGGCGTCCATCGCTCAATTTGAAGCACAGCGACGAAAGTCACACTGACAGATGAAATGGGGGGCTCGTGCCGGGTAAGAACAGAGTTGGCATGGGTATTGTAGTTCGGTAAATAAATGGTAAGAATTTGTGTCACTGAAAAGCACAAATAATTCCATAGTGCTGTTCTATGTGGAAATAGGAAGTGTGCAAATGAGCATTTCTAAGAGACTTAGCCATTGATTACAATACTATTTTATGAAATGCTGTTGCTTTTTTGAAGTGCTGTTTTTACAGTGCGCGAAGTAAATAAAATAATTAATAAAATTTTTCATGACTTATTGAATTGACATACATATCCATCGATTTCTGCATGAAACAGCTTCTCAAATCCATGTAGGTAGAGACTATTTCAAGTAAGGAAGCTTTCAAACATTGAGGCATATGTATAGAGTCAAGATTTCTACGTCCCAACCATCCTTTCCGTAACTTTTCTTTCATTCATCTTACTTGTAATAGCAGAGATTATTCTGCATAAATCATAACGCTAACGAAAACACTATCTTGGCTATTTATTATAAAAATGAGCAACTATTTCAAGCGTATATTCGACAAGTTCTCCATTACATTCCATGCATTACTAGATATCATAGATTTTATTACCATAACAATTTGGCCATTATGCTTTTCGTCACAATGCTCCCACGAACTAATTGTTTGTGGTACTGTTACTGCTCTCATGTAAATTAATCATTTTGCGTTTCTGAAAATAAAGCTGTTAGGATTCTTTTAAATTCATTTTATTTAATAAGTTGTATCTTACAGCCATGTAACTGCGTAATTTACTCCTCTAATGTGAAATACTTTAAAGGGTTCTTACACCGAAGCATCAAACCCTGTTTGTAATTCTTGCTTAAAGTATAGCTCAGCAACTTTTACATGTTCATCTAATCAGCACCGGAATTTTTCTTTTTTTTTCTCTCTCGAAAAAACTTAAGTAACCTAGTTCCGAAGGAAAACGGATAAAGTACATACACTATATGTATCTGTAATGTAACTGCAGGAAACATTTCGAAATTGCTTCCCACAGACTAATCACCTTAATAAACTTTGACAAAAGATTGCAAGTAATTGTGTATATGATATTCCCTACATAAAATTGCATTTCCTGATTTTCCTGGTCAAAATTGTGAGAATCCGTGCTATTATGAGGCTTATGAGATATTCTTCGTACCCATCCTTCCTTTCGTACCAGTTACAGATGATAATAATAAAAAGCCATGTATCTCTTTTCTTCTCTCGCACCAAATGTTTTGCGCAATTTCAAACCACATGCTGATCAATTTCCACACCTTCGCTCATTGCATAAACCATAAAAGCCGTTCATGCAGTTCATTGCCATTAGCCGCACCTGTTGTGGAACGATGGAACGCTATGGCTTGAGTAACACACAATTCTCCAGCAGCTGTTTGGAAGGTCGCTTCTCTAGCCTCTCTTGGTCTTTTCTGTCACAGCCGCTCATCCGGGAAGTTTCTTCAGCTCCCATTGTTCCCGGGCAGTGTTACTCCATTCGGGCGGTCGTCGTCATTGAATGAGTGAAGAAGTCGTAAATCATGGCGCAAAACCTTTCATCTTGCTACTTTTTCCATGCCTGACCCTTGTGTGCGACGATTCCTTGTTTGGTTGGAGAAATACGACCACACACACACCGAGGCGCGCTACCTTTTCTTTTCTTCGTCTTGCCGAACCTGCTAGAGATTTTACAGCCGTCGTCCCGTCCAGCTGGAAGTTCCTATTGTTCGTGTGCGAAGCCGCAAAACCACACAAAAAACCGCTTCAACCACGCTACCGTAACCAGCACCCCCCTCTCATCCCTTACAGTATATCAATACCAGTTATGTCGCTGTTTGCGCATTTGTGTGTACACACTGACGGCCATGGCACCGACAAGGTCGTCGTCGGTCGCTACCAGCCGCGCCAGATTATCGCCACCGCCACCGCCGGCAGAACCACCGCCATCAGAGCGCGCCGAGCGCGACAAATCAAGGTTACTGTAACAGTTGACTGTCTGCAAACAATGCGAATCGAATCGAGTGCATTTTGAACGCATCACTCACTGGCGCACGATACGCATGATTGCGGAAGCGTCGAGCGATTTAGTCAGTGACGGGTGGAGAGGCTCGTGCACAGATTACAACACTCTCTGATGAGTCAGAAGTCAATTTTCACACGAAAGTGAAGATGGGAGAATGAATCAGTGTTAATAGATGGCAGTAAATGGAAGTGAACTTGGATTTCAAAGTGGTATTGATTAGCAGCTCTACAATATAAAGAATACAATCTATAAATTGTGAAGTACGATTTCTTAAAGTCACTGGTTATCGATCGCTTTTGTGTACAGATCTATCAACAATGGGTAAATTTATTTTGAAGGCAAATTCTTACACTAAAAGCTTGGTATTTGATCGATCATTTTGATAATGTGAGTCTAATTTACACAAGAACTTCATGGATAAGAGAAATTACTCGAGAGGAAGCACGCACAATGAATTAAACGTTCTGAGTTTTTCAAAATTTTCAAGAGCCATCAGCATGTCATCATTATCAAATTCTTCATCTGAAATTGTTTTAGAATTCATTCAATGTTGACGAGAAGCTATGATCTAACTTTTTTTATTTTTCAGTATTTATTTCTGCTTGTCTTTTGTGGAAATTCTACCAATCAAAAGATTTGGGAGCATAAATTTCTTTTGATAAGTCATGAAAATGGCTCAATCATGAACAATTAACTTTCAAAGAAGTTTCACACCACTTCTTCGTCATCACTTCAATTAAATTTTCACTCGCATTTTTTTTGTTGGAGAAAACGTGTTTATTATTTTCGAAATAATGTTTGTGAGTTTTTAAAGGTTTGGATTAAGTTACGTATAGGATCGTTCCAAATATGGAGTCTTTGACACACTGTAGGGACTTGCTCGAATTTTTGTGCAAGGCAAAGCACGAAGAAGTAAATAGCAATGAAATTCGTCTTGTTGGAGTAAAGTGTTACTAGGTACGTAGAAGCTAAGAAATGGTTCAATCAACCTCCTTTGTGGTCTACCTTATATCCAGCTATCTAGCCCAAAATGCACTTTTCATACAGAAAGCTTTTAATTGATTTGAAGTACTAGTTGGAGAGAAAGGATAAAAGTGTAGAGTTGAAGGACTTACAGGAAAAATTATGAATTTTACGGAAAACGGACTTATTGGCATTCTGCGCAATAGAGAATGAGGGACCTCTGGAATTTTACCTTTATCAATGTCTCGAATAATTTAGAAATTTTTTCATCCATGATTCGAACCCTTGGGTCAGAACGGAAAAATGTATCAAATATGAGGCCAAAACGGCAAAGACAAGAATACACCTTTAATATATCGAAACCTCAGTCTGAAGCGAGGGATTTTAGAACAATACAAGTTAGTTTTTTCTTATAACATCTTCTTATATTTTCATTACACTCACTTTTTATTTATACATTTTTGACAGATTTTCCTCAAATTTTAAGATCATTATTTAGTACATTGAAAGTTTCGATGGCTTTTGGGCCCATTAATTTTGTTGAAGACACTCACTCATCAGCAGGAAATTTTTCTTGAACAACCAGCTTTTCGCCTTAAACGTTCTCAGAAATCCCAAAAAATACAGCAGCCAACGATTTATTCTTCTCTACATAAAACATGAAAGGCAAATGCTCAGAAAGAATCGATAAAAGCGCATACAATATGTCTACATAAGTGAATTTCGTGTTAGATGATGTATGTTGATGGTGACGTTAGTTTACGTAAGTGTAGCTTCTGTTTCCTTTCACAATACTTGTCAGTGCATCTCGATACGCACCTTTGCATTCATCGCGGATCACCTGGAAATTGGAAATTATGAAAAAGAAAAAAATGGAAATAAGATGAAAAAAAAACTTAAAACACAGGACATCCATCTGTAAAAACTTGGACATCATTGATATATTTTTTTTCAAAACTGTTCAGACAAAAAGGAAAGGGGGTAGAGAATTGAATAAATAGGAAATCAAGTTATATAAACAGCTACTTTTCTAGTGGGAAGGAGGAAGGTAGAGGGAAGGGGGGGGGAAGAAGTTTGGAGAAATATAGTATTTTTTCCCACCTGCAAAAGCGATTTATTGAAGAGTCTCTCATATTCCGACTGAATAGCTCCCAGGTCAATTTCTGCTCGGGAAACCAAAACACGGATCAAATCCTTGTCACGGGTGTTGATTCCCTGGAAAATAGTTCTGAAAGTATGACTGATGAACTAAAAATGTAAAGGTGTAGAACCATCTTTCATACCCCACTGAACGTATTTCAAACTACATTTTGGTTTCGTGATTTTGGGTAATCTTTTCGTTAACGTATTTGTTCAGTATACTACCATAGCCGTACAGTATACTTATATGTAGGAAACTGTTAGTGATTAACAGTGAACTTCACGCTGAAGAGACTGAATGAGTTTCCATGCCCTCTGAGGATGCCTTTTGTGTTTCTATTCCGATTTCGTAATTTCGAGCAGCTTTTAATTACCGTAACCCTACAGTAATCATACAGTATATCTACACGTCCACTTGTCGTAAATACAAAAGTGTATTGAAAGAAACAATTATTAGGATTATCATCGATTTAAAATTCACTGAGAATATAGGTTACGTTTTCAAGTCATATTTTGAAGCTGTTTTCGGGCCAGCTTTGCTTCGTAAATTTGAAAAAAAATTATTACAGTAGCAGTCCTACCGTGATCGTACAGTATACTGCACGTCCAACTTTGCATCAAAATGTGAGCTTAATTTGCAGTTTAGTAATATTGCAAATTAAGATTACAAGTCCTTTTGCGCAACGATCAGCTATTTGCCGGATTTTTGCTGACCTTTCGCCCACCCCCCTCTTTTTCTGAATTCTTGAACCTCTCAGCTGACGGAACATCGGCGAAAATTTTGGCGCGTGCTGCGATGGCTCGATGATGATCACTATGTCCATCTGTTCCTTATCTATTCACTTCATCTCAGTGCTTGCGCAATCGCCTCACCTGGATCACCGGTGGAGACAAAACATACGCAAACATGCGGAAAACGAAGTGAATTGCGTGGGCCAGGAAGTTTAGCAGGGGTGGGGAGGAGCGGGGGGGGGGCATAATTGTCGAAAACAGCATGAAAATGTGAAAAGGCGAAAAAAGTTAAATCATCAAAGTCTGATAACAATTTATCAAAAGTTAAGTAATTTTTTAAAATTTCGTGCCAGGACCCTCTGGCTTTGGAAAATTTGAAATTTCTACATATTTCCTCTTCCATAATTGTTCTTTTCCTACTATGCAGCTCCAGCTCCATTCATTTCCAACCATATATACATTGTGACAGGATAATTAGCCCACCTGCACGACGCCCGTCATCCGCCGAGACGTCGCCACACGCATATAAACACTATAAGATGTTCAAATGTGAATTTTCTGGGATTCTGCTGCTTGAGATGAACGCAGTACAACAACTGCGTGTTGAGGCTGTACGTATTAAAGCTTTGATGAAACGGGGATCTTTACGAAAAGTTCTTGAAGCGTCATCATTCGAATTCAAATTTTGCGTATTGTATGTATTGTAGATTTAATGAAACGGGAGGTTTTATTGGCAACATAAGAAAATTCCTTGAAGCACTTCAACATCCAAATCTGAACTTTACCGCATTCGTGCTTTAGTCCGAAAGCCGTAGAACAACGCTTTCTAAGGGCCTATTTATTGTAATTTTGATAAAACAGATTTTTTGCAAAAAAAATTCAGCAAAAATTTTTAGCAAATCTAAATTTTACGGGGATTTCGCTGTTCGATTTCATAAACTCTGAGGCAATTACTTGTGTGAGCTCTATATATCGTGCCTCGAGAAATAGGGACTTTTTTTGCGAGAAACTCTGACCGCCTTTTCTCTTGGAACAGTTCGACACTTTTTTCGAACATCTGAAGGCTGCGAAAACCCCCCCCCCCCCCCCATAAAAGCTGGCATTTTTCCACTCAGAATTACAGATGGAGTAAATCAATCAACTAAACGACTTTTTCTGAGGCTATACATGATGTATCTTTAAAGAAACGGAGATTTGTTTGCATTAATTTTCTAAAGCTTTTTTTGCAGAAAAATTCGGCATTTGGTAACGAGATATCTATGAAGTATAATACAGTATAATACAATATAAGCTTTTACATGTTGGGTATTCTCGAAAGGCATAAAGGAAAGTTGTCTTAAATGCGCCTTATAGACAACCATAACTTGCAGGAAATACGATTAATAATTTGTGATTTGATTTATTTACTGTTCTCCAACGAATGTTGAGAAATTTCAGGCTGATTTTAGATGAAGTACCTTCTAGCTTCCGAAGATGAGTTCGAAGAAAAAAGTTTGACTCATAACATTTCGCAAGAGCAATGTTTCAGCTTCACACTGAGCGAATTATGTATGGATAATAATGAGCGGATAAGTAATCAAAATATAACCAAAAAATGGTGGACACAACAGCTTCACCAGCTATCTATAGGATGGAAAATGGGAATATTTGTGCCACGTTTTCGTAATGAGTTTCAAGTTCATTTTTAATCAATTTTATTTCAAGAAAACATCCTCACAGTTCCCCAGAAGTTTCTTGAATGTCACCGCCCTACTTGTTATTTCAAATGAGTGCATATTCTTTTTGACGAAGTCGTTATCCGACAAAGGATAATTCAGAGGGAGCAGTTGTTGGCTTATAACAAATAACTTACTTCTTCTCGAACATTATATTGTTAATTTTACTATATCCATTACAAAACGAGAAAAAATCTATTTGGGCTCAAGTTCATGGGACATATATGAAGAAAAGGGTATTAAGAAAAGAAAACTTAGATGGTTTTACCACATCCTATATGAACATTTTGTGGATGAATTTCTGAATGAATGAAAAGAATTTCAAAGGTTTCTATCTTCTGTAATCATTTACTGCAGATTTCTCAAAAAGTATAAACCGCTTAAACGTTGATAATTTATGGGTTTCAACCTTTCACACGTCTTAAAGTAATCGCAGTTGAAACGGACCATCAATAATTCACCATTAATGTAAAAGCACCGTAAAAGCTTCTGACTAGGTCACATAAAACTCTAGACAGGGGAAATCCCATATTGCTGTTTTTGATATTATCACATGCTTGTTCTAAACGCTTCACTACTCCCCAAGGTTACCCATCGTCCAACCGGCGCAACCTTCTCAGCTTTATTTTGGTTTTATTCCACGGCCGAGAACGAGGCGTTCAGTTGATTTTTCAAGTGGGTTTTTAGTTCGACGAACTGCCAATTACCCATCTGCGATTGTCAACAGCCAGCCACACAGCAGCGACCTTGTCGCCGCTGCTGGCTGGCTGCTGTTCGATCCCGGCTTTCGTGCCCCGTTTTTTTCTGAAGGGGAACTGCGTGACTGACTATAATTACGCGTATTTCAGTGCGTCAGAGAAACGAACTGGTCACTTCGAGGGACGTGAGGGAAATATAGCGTTAGAATTTATCAGTAAAGTGGGATCATATAAAATAGATTGTGTGATTGCACGCGCTGTACCTTACGCCACTGACTGATAAACAATCGCTAAAAGCATTTTGATGCTACAACTGTGAAAAAACGAATATTTACATACATTTATACCACTATGGTCCAGGAAAAATGTTTTCGGGAGGGAAAGTGAGATGCAAGCCACTCATCCAATAAAAAATTTTAAGGATGTTTTTTATATTTTGCGCGTTCATCGTCTTGACATTTTGAGAAGAGTCAAGATCAATATAAATTTTTGTTAAATGAGCAAGCCACTTATTTTTCCTAGCTAGTCATTTACGCAGTTGTATAGCTGAAGAACAGTTCAAGAAAAAATTTCCCGCTTCATTCTCGGGGCTCCCCTCGATCCGCCATTGATTCATACTTAACCTTTGATTCAATGGCTTGGCGTCTGAAAGGCGGGGCTTTGTGACCTAATTAAGGCCGCTCGCGTCCGCGACGCAGTCTGCGTCTCTCCCGCGCTCGTGCTCCCTGATCATCACCTATCCTTAACTAGGTCACGAAACCCCGCCTTCCAGCCGCCAAGTCAGTTGAATCAAATGGTATTTGAGCTCAAATGTAGAAGGAAACAAAAAGGATTTCCCAAAAATTTACAGCTTCTAGACATGAGTCATGGAATACCTTGTTGTGCAATACAAAAGTACACCGAGTCACTTTTTTATTATAATTAATTACATTCTAGATTTTCTAAGAAGTTATAAAGGTGATGTAAAATCATTTACTGTTATTTTCATTACATAACCTTCATTAAAGAAGATTTTTGACGCCAAACTTGAAAATACATAATAAGAAAACCCACCTTGGTAGCACTGTAGATCTGATGGGCAAAGTATTTTGGTTTGCTTTGAGCGACCATCACGAGGGCCTGAAAAAATGTATGAGTATAAAAAAGGCGTGATTGGCACTGGATCTAATTGAGAGGCCAGAAGGATGGAAGCGGGGCGGGGTGGGGGGAGGGGGGAGCGAAGAGAAGAATTGGTTGTGCAGAAGTTGCATTTGAGTTGTTTGCAAACTTCTCACAATCATTCAGTAGCCAGAATTTTCTTTGAGATTTTCATTTAGCAACAAGAATTTCATACGTAATTCGATTGCTTTTCCCTAAGACAAAATTTGGTGTGAGAAGTTCTTCAACCCACAATGAACAAACCACTATCCACCAATGGCCCTTTGCCCCCTCTCCTCCCTTCATCGTGCCCTCCTTCTCTCCCCCCCCCCCCTCCCCAGAAAAAAGCTTTCAATATTATCAACAACACTTATCACGAATCTTTTGGCATGACAAACATGTTATAAAAATCAAAAATAATTTCTGAGACTTCTTCCGTTTCAGAAGTAAAATTTTATGTTTCAAAGTAGAGACCTTTCGTATTTTCAACATCCTCCAGTGAGCAAAGACTGAGTTTGAAAATATATTGATGTTTATCTGTAGTGACATTTTCATAGAGTTTATAGTGATTCGAAGTATAAATTTCAAAAAACTTGCTTATGTTTTTCCATTTTCTTCACTCCAGAAAAAGCGATTGGTCAAAATTACATTGGTTTTTGTTTCGGAAATGCACGCACCTCAAAATTATTTTTGTTTGCCTAGTTCGATAGATTTCTTTGGTTTAATCGATAAATTTACGATTCGTACAGGATTCTGATTAGCCAAAATTATCACCCCCGCCAGACAAGATCCTGTCTCGGCGTTTCTGATAGCGAGGGAAGGAGGGGTGGGGGGGGAGAGAGGAGGAGGAGGAAGCAAAAAATGTTGTTTTCATTGTCATAGCAAAAGCAAATCACTTCCACCCATTGCCATAAAAATTCTTGCAAGTTTTTTTGTGTGTCTCTTCTGTTGTGCAAATTTTTCTTTTCCATTCTTGCATAAGCTCGATATAATCCTCTTGTTTACTCCTCCCATTGCTTGACACACACGTTTCCTACCGAAGTTTTCGATTTGATCCGAAGCTAAGCCGTAAATTGTTGTGCTTTTGCAGATCTTAACGTGCCGATGCCTGCATAGCCGTACAAGCACTGAGGAAGGTGGGGGAGAATGGAGAGAACGTAAGATGTGAATATTTTTTGAAAATTTTCGGTGAGGGTTGAATTTTAAATCAGTATTATATCCATATTAGCGATGTTTTTTTAGAATAAAACTCAAGCAATAGACGAACCAAAGAAGTTTGAGAAGATTATCGTCGTCACTGTCTCGAAAAGAATTTCAAAACAATCCAACTTCATCCGACATGTTAGAAAAATAGCATGAATGATTATTCTGATCCATTTTATTCGCCTTCTTGTACATTTAAGGCAAAGAATGAATTACAGATTTGTATTTTTTCTCGGTGAATTCATTTGACGATGTTTATGAAACTTTTCTATTCGCTTTTTTTCATTATGTGCAACAATGGACGTACAGATTGATCAAATGAAAACTGCTTTTACAAGGCCCATTCAAGAAATAGTATGTCTATTATGCTTTGAGGAAAACAAGAGATTCAAAGGCCAGAACCAGAAAATTTGAGTTACATTATTAGAAAACATAAGTTACGCAAAGAACACCTATCGCCTCATAAAAAATTGCATTTCATGTCTCTTTGCTGAAAAAGTAGCATAAATGAGATATTTCATTGAAATAAAAGTAAGGTTTATTTTATTATTTCTTTAGTGTGTGGGAGAAAGCTGGAAAACGATTTGAAAGGAAAGAAAAAATTAAGCTCGGTTCACATACTTACAGTAATCACATTTTGAATGGCGAAAAAATCAAGTCATCTTATTTTGCAAACTTTTTGATTCAACAGTAACGCATTATAATCATTACATTCCCTTTAATGCATTAAAGGCAGGACTCGGCACGAGGTGGCTAGATGAAAATGGCAAAAACAAGTCCCCCTTGACTTTTGGGAATTTTTACGAAGTCTTCTTTGACCCTCAACCAAATTTCCTCTAAAAACCTGAAAAATTTTCCAAAATCCCCCAAAAAACGAAACGTCGACTAAAAAAAAGTCGCCGTCGCCAATTTTCCGTGTGTCTTCGGTCACAAAAAAGAAACCCCCTTTGCTTTTCCTCCCAAAAACGATATCCAGCTTGCTTGTAAGCCACCTCGTGCCGAGCCCTGATTAAAGGTAATGCATTTTTGGGGAATTTGAAGTTTTTGCTCCGCTGATTCTTTGACTGGGATTTCAGGAGTTTTGATAAGCAGACGACTTTATAAGAACAAAAGGATGGTGCAGAATGAAGCTTACCAACAGCAGATTCTTCGTGTCACCGTTGAAATCCTTCTCGATCGCTTTTTCAATGGGATATCCAGCAACGCTTTCGAATTCCGAGATCAAATAACCAACGTGATTTGCATTCGATGTGGCCAGCACTTTGTACTGCAAAAAATCTTTGTTCTCCTTTTCACTGTACTCTACAATGCTGCAAAAATTATTCTCATTTCCTTCAGCTGGTAATAAAATTATTACAAGAATGCAAGAGGAAGTAACTTGGTATGCTGTCACTTGCAAAGTTAGCTTTCATTTTGAAAAATGAAAGTAAAAGGTAAAATAAAAAATTCTATATGCATTTTCAACTCACTGCATCAAATTTGTCAGCAGAGCCTCTCCTGTCAGAACATCTCAAAATGTTGTGTGCTTCCTAAAACGCAAACGTAAATGTTGTTGTCCTATTATTATAAATTAAACTTGACATTCCCTATGATCTTTTTTGGGTCCAAATGCTTGATTTTTTTTATCTCTTCCCCTCTAGGTAATTCACGATCAGATGCAGGAAATTTGGGAATCAATAATTTATTTTTATGCTGTCAAATCCGGAACTTAGAGTTTATGAAAAACCATTCACTAAGGCATTTAGAAAAACTGGGGCGTTTCTTTCCTTTTTGAGCTAAAGCCGTCTATCATTTTTTTATTTTTTTATTGACAGCCTAGGCAGGTTGTCAGATTGTCAATCATAATCATGTCATGTTGCAGGTCATCAATTATCTAGTCATACGCTCAAATAGAAGATTTCTTTCTTTGTTTCCTAATCGATCTACGCAATAGTGGAGTTATGCGCATCATCAGAAGCATTCATAATCACTATCATGATGCATCTTTTGTGAATTTTCATTTTTTGCACATTACAAAAAAAATCAAGAAAGATTTCCTAAGGAAGGGCGTTCAAGATTTAAAGAGAGAACCTGCACAAGCTAAAACAAAAATTAAGTGATACAGTCCACTTTGACACTTCAAATAACCCACTACGGTGTCGACAACATTTGCGCGCAAAAAACGAGCATTGAGAATCTTATCTCTTACCTATAAGAGATTATTAAATTGATGCCGTGTTGATAACTTGCATATTCATCGTATACATTGATCAAAAATTGCTGAGACTACAGATTTGATAGAGACAGGGGAAATCTACATGTGCATATTTTTTCTTTGGTTAAGGGGTGTCGAACCAAATTGTGACGTGTCAAGTTGAACATCTTATTTTTCAAAAAAAGTTTATATGAAACACAAATAAGTTTTGACCTTTATTCAACTGGCTTGGCTTCGGGAAGGTGGGGCTTTGAGACGTAATTAAGGCCGCTCGCGCCCGCGACGCACCTGCGTCTCTCTCGCGCGGGTGCTCCCTGATCACTAGCTAGCCTTAATAAGGTCACGGAGCCCCGCCTTCCCGAAGCCAAGCCAGTTGAATCAAATGGTGCTCTGGCCAACCTGTACAGCTTTGTGATATTCGCCAATGCTGCTCTCGTCACGATTGCCCTGTATAAGTATCATCAATAGTCGGCGAAAATCTCCAGAAGTATCGCCAGAGATTGCTTCTTCCAATGATCGGTCAAAAGTTGTGTAATAAGTGTTCCTAAGATTAAAAAATCTTTGCCAATCTCCATCAGAACCAGATCTGTTAGTAAAAATTCCAACCGTATAGCTTGGATTTCTTCATTTGTTCGAGACGATAGAATTTCAATCAATACTCGTTCGTTTGTGCCAAATCCCTGAAAACAGGCGTTGAACAAGTTTAGAAAAAAACAGTGCCAACATCCCGGCGGTTCTACGCGCCGCGACTCACGGCAGCAGCACCGCACTATGTACGCGCGCGAGATTGGACCATGCCGCGAAAGAAGGGCAAAGCGAAACAAGCAAATTTCCGTTTTTTTCCTATAATAATGCTCTAGACAAAACTCGTCATTGGGGGAGGGGGGAGAGTGCAGTGCCTCTTTCGCGGCGTGGTCTAGTCTCGCGCGCGTACGTGGTGCGATGCTGCCTGCCGCTGAGTCGACTACTGTGTGCTGGTCATTGATGTACTAATTATTGATTTTTCCATGGCGTCAAAAAACGCGCGGCCACTTTCATGTGCCGTATTATCATAGGGGCATAGAACAGGGCCAAGCACGAGTCGGTTCCTAGGATTTCTGAAAACGAAGTCTCCCTTGACTTTCGGAAGTTTTACGAAGTCCCCTTTGACCTACTTGCTTAGGAGAAGATGAAAACAAGAAAGATTTACTAGTCTGAAAGAAGAGACGTAAGATAAGAGTGAAAATCCAGATTGGAGCTGAATACTACGCATGCACAAGACTTTGGCTTTACAGCGCCATATTTAACAAAGCGAGAAGAAATGAAGGCAAAAAAGAAAGGAAAGGCAATGATATGAAAATGTCTTCATGCTCAGGGATAGATTTTTGACCGGGGAATCCGTCCATGCTAAAAAGATCCGAAACTTATGTGAAGTGACGAAAATATATGCTCCAGACGATCTCAGATCGTCTGGTGGCCGTCTGGAGACGATCTAATTTTGGAAAAGGTATTACTTCACATAAGTTTTCAAATCTTTTTACATAATACTTTCGCAAATAATTTTCTATATATACAGTTCAATTTTGGTGTCATGTGCTTCTGTGTGCGCTGTAAACAAGCAATTTGTTTATCTAAGCCTTGCTTTCAAATCGCGCGCACTTTTCGCCATACACGATAGAGCATGTCAATCGTGTGATAACCTGTCCGAAAGCTTGTGTTCGACTAAATGGCGCTCATTCTTGGTGTTCGGCCTCGATTCGTCAAAAACGATATCCCCTTTGCTGTTTGCTTCAAAAACGAAGTCCAGCCTGCTTTCAGACGATCTGTGCCGGACCCTGGCAAGAATGACATAAATATTCGCTTTGCGAATTTTTGCTTTCACCAAGTTTGGAACGGAATGATCCTTTCGGAAAAAAAACTCACTTTTACAGCTTTATGCAAATCCATGACGTCTCGTTTTGTTGGTGTTTGCATCAAGGCAACTAAAATGAAGACTATTTTTGGGTAAAAAACTCTCCGAGTATTTAAAAATGTATTTTCTTGCAGCGAATTTCTGCTTTGCTTTCCGGTACATTGAACGTTCACTTGATGTTTGCTGCAGAACCATAGTATAGGGTGTTTTAGAAAGAAGAAAATCTGTTGCAAAAGGGCATAAAACAGGAAAAAGGGACATCGAAACTAGTTCTGGGCATTGAACAAATATGGGAATCCTTTGATGTAGTTGCACTTGGTTTTTTCTGAAGTGACAAATTTTGCAGCAGCCTTCTTTTTTTTTCAAATCATTGACATTGCGAAAGTTTGAGAATAGCAGACTGATATGATTTTGCTTCGGCTGAGCCTCTAACCTTGAAGATGCTGCAAGTTCGAGTAGTCTTCAAATTACAAATATTCTGTAATAACTTAAAAAATTTGATTTTGCCTACGATAACACACAAGTTTGCCATTTGCCTTCTATACATACAAAATCATTTAGAAGAAAATGAAAAATACATTATCTTAAGAAAAACTTTCATCATAAAAAGTCCAATATTTTTCTGAATTGGAAATTTGGATACTTACTGATTACATCTTCGAGATCTCCAGAAAGTTCCCTCTTTAGCTCAGCTTCGAGATCTTTACCATAGCGCGTCTTGTACGGGGTGCGTATCTGAAATTTGCAGAAAAAATTTACGCTGCTAGATTTGTTAACGTCATGTTTTGTTAAAGTGCAATCAATTCATGTCATCTATAGGCTCTTGAAAAAGCGAACTGTGACAGAATACGAAAAAATGGAAGTGGCAGAAGTGCTTTTCTATGCTAATCAGCTAAATATTGATTTTGCAAAAGGAATTACGCAACGCGTTGCCTCTTAGAGCAGCGCACTTCTACCCTACGTGAATTCCGTAAGTTGGAGATGTAAAAAACAAATCTGCCATGTCGTGAAATTTTTATTTTTTTTTGATTTCACAGCGTTTTCTAGAATCTCACGATAAGGACGAGACGCAGAAGTTTTCCAACACTTTACAAGCTGAGCAAAAGGCAAATACTCAGTCATCTTCTATCTATAGGAGATTCGTCGCAGGCAGAGACTGGGCGCTGTTGCGTCTGACAAAGATAGTTCGTGCATGAGAGAGACAGCAGACGGCAAGAGATGAAGAGTGCTGAAACAGCGAGACGCAGACAGCGTCCGTAGTAGCGCCCTGCTCTGCGTGGGATGACTCGCTTGACACAGTTCAGAAAAAGTAGCCTTATCTGTTTTTCAATTCCACAAAATAAACGCGTACCATTTGACGTTGAGCATTATTACATTTGACGAGAATATCGACTACACGCTGTTTGTCCGTCCCATATCCTCTCATCGCTCGTTCGAGCGATTCTGCGGCTCGTTCTTCATCGAACGATGCCGACGGATGGATCGTCGCTTGCATCTAAATGAAGCTAATCAGATGAAAGTTATGTTATCAAGACAACAGTAACTAAAGAGGATACATTTCTCTAAAGATGTTAAACAGGAGAAGAATTCGAAAATGAAAGGTTTTCATTCATAGCGTTAATAGGATAGTACATAGAGTTTATCTGTTCGCATGCAGTTTGAACTCCTCTCGATCTTTTCCTAACTAGCACATTTTCGATAAAGTCGCTCCCTTGTATCCTTTGATTTAACTGGATTGGCGGCTCAAAGGCGGGCTTTGTGACCTTGGGCTAGAGAATAATCAGAGAGCAACCCCGCGAGAGAGACGCAGACTGCGTCGCGGGTGCGAGCGGTCGCCTTTCAGCCGCTAATCTCGTTGAATCAAAGGTAAGGCGCATATATGTTTGATGATATGTTCACGAAAGTAATAGAACTGAATAGAACCTTCCACTGATTAGAAGGAATGATTAATGCAGTGAACCAAGATGAAAAGGTCTGCCTGCTCTCTCATGTTCTTGTCTGTCAAAAGATGGTTCCCCCCAAACTAAGTCTATCTAATTTAGTCCTTCAGTGTTCGGGTTTAAATAGTCACGGTAGCCTCGGGAGAAAAAGATTTAGGAGCTAATTGTGATGATGCAAGTGCTTTTTGAATATGAAGGCCAATAGCACAGCTTGGCGCAGTCGAAGACGGTTACAGTAAGCGAGTCGCCTGCAACTGCAATCGCTAAAGGACCTCTCCATGCTTGGCACGCAGCTATTCAACTGGCCATAAATAGAGGCAGCGCATCCTTTTATTTCCACCTTATTTTCTTGTATGATGTCTGAATTCGTATCGTGGCTTAGAGAAATGCCCTGCTTTGGATTTTCGAAGTGGATAAGGATTTACATGGATATGTGAGCATCGCTCAGAACCGAGATCCAAGCTGCACTAGATCGCAACAAGTATGACTAATAGCAAGAGAAAGTGGGGGAAGAAGAAGACGCGCCTCGGCGACGCGCGGCGGATCTGTGTGGAATACTCTGTTCATGTATACGAGCCATCGGTAGCAAGAGACGAGGTGAGTAATAATTCGTGATAGTAGTTTTTTCTATAATTGCAGTTTTTTCCACGTTGGAATAATATTTAGTCTACTCTTATTGTGTTGTCGACGCGCGCTAGGTTCGGATAGACTGACACTTGTGCGAGACACAAAGAGCCTCTCGACAAATCGCTTGAGATTTTCTTGGTCTTGAGGGCTAATAAATTGCCTATGGAAATGATGTGAGCCCTGAAACTGGGGCTGAAAATCTTGGCTAACCTCATGGATAAGCATTTCGACGCTGTAGTTCGTGAATGCACAACGACGAAACCAGACAATAGCCGTCAAATCAAAGGGCGGCACAGCCGAATTGAACTGAGCAATAACACCAACTGCACAGAAACGCGAATAATTCGCTTGTGTGCCTATACATCGTGGTTTTTTCAAAAGAGGCGAGGTTATTCAATGCAAATGCATTGGTTCCAGCTACGCAATACTGGAAACCTGTATTAATTTTCCCTTAAAAAAATTCACTCGAGCACAGCTAATGGTGACAGCCTAGTAATAAACGGCACGTTAACGATAAAAATGAAGTGGCGAAACCAATCTATGTAGCTAATTTTGGAGCACTTCTGGCAGAACAACTCAGCTGGAGTTATTGACAGTTCCATTATTTCCAGGAGTAAGATTAATAAAAAAATTCCTTTTCAAGAAGTTTTACGAAGATCATCGGCCCGATCAGATTCACAGCAATCGATGTAGTGCGGCAAACTGTACGATAAACTTTTTTGTCCGAAATGTAAAACACGTTTGCAACTATGCATGTAAGCCCTTTACCAAATGAAAAAGAGAATGGTGAGGGGAAATTTGTAAGAAGAGCAAATGGGGTTTTACACACAAGAATTCAATGAATCACTTTATGGCTTTACGTACCTGTAAAATGATGGGTTTTTCTTGGTCTTGCATAACGAGTCCTTGTGGGAATGTGAATGACTTGCAAGCTAGACACGATAGCAAAGGCTATTTTTTTACAAGCGAAAATATTTTCACTACTTCTCGTTTTTATGTTCTTATCAGCAAGGAAAATAAATGAGGAAAAACTATGAATGGCTCAGCAAATTAGTCTAATATTGATATGAAAACAAAGAAAGCATAGAGCAGACATTGATTCTATAAATATCTGAAGTACGTAGACCTGCTGCTATGAATACAAACGGCTCTAGCATGTAACGGGGCTGGACGACCAGCCCAAGAAATCCGTGCTTAAGTGCTTTCATTAAATGAAGAAACATGTGATGTTTTTGATGGTGGACAGTGGTCTGCAACACCACTTTGTGAGCTTCTGCTCAAACTCTGAGGAAAACGCTATTTCCAAGACTTTAGTCGAATGAGGAATTGCCAATTTCGATGTACATCTCAACGAGTCGTAATAATGTGCCGAGATCAGTTCAGTCAAACTTGGGCAATATTTCTACTTGATCCTATAGGTATAAAGTATTTATAAAGCTTTGTGGAAACAGCGACAAACATTGAATCTCCGCCTCGTTTCTTTTCTCAAATAGAGTCATTTTAAAGCCAAAAAGGAAGACTTCCCAGTTACCATGGCCTTCCAAAGAGGATAATACAGGAAATATCGAAATAATAGTTTCACTTCTGCACTCTGTGAAGCGGTTGTATGTAGGGATTTGAATGTTTGTCTCTTGAAATCTGTGTCTCTCCATAAATGAACTAGAATGTCTGCTTGTCTGCATGGATGTATGTCTGTCTGTCTGTAGTGTGTTCCGTATAGAAATTTTTATTTTTGAAGCGATCCTGACCAAGGTTAAACACTACACTTCGGGGCGGGCAGGCTTTGTAGAGTACTTTTCAATAACTTTTGTAGGCTACTTTTCGTGACTGGTCGGTGTCGATTTTTTGATATTTTGCAGAGTCTCACCTATGAGGCTGGGATTTGGCACATGAGGGTAGGTGAGCCTGTTGATTACGAGAATGTTATGGACAAAACCGGTCGGAGCCAGGGTTTTCCAGCTAGTTATGCGTTGGTGGAGCCGTCTATCTCATGCTAGCAAACTGAGATAGACCATATAAATGGACCAGTTCCAACTTAGTAGAGAGCAAAAAAAACTTGTATCAATAGATAGTCCTGAATTTTCGCAACTATGCGACTTCTTTTCAAAAAAGTCCCTAATTTCCTCTACAGGAACATTTGCAGATAGCAAAAACTGATTTGCAGTTTTTAGGTTGTCCCAAAAGTAAACTCCATTTTCAAATAAATTGAGCTGTTCTCGTTTTACTGATAGACTTGAGATACTTTTCGATGGAGCAGAGCAAGTTCTACAAAAAAAACCACCAAGGACCTACCTATGTCGTAATCCAGGCAAAATTTGGCGCCAAAAATTAACATTTTTCAGGTACTTTAAAAATCGGATCTCCTTCCAGAAAATTCCTACGGACTTCCAACATGGTCTTTATGTAGTAAGCATAAATATTACAGAAATGTATTTGGCGGATTTTCCTCGGGGCTCAAAATTGAGAATAAAAGATGTTCCGAAAATGCCAAAATGCCACTTTTTCGGGTCTTTTATGTAAAACTTGGTATGTCTCGATTATAAGGCCACAAATAGGGGTAAGGTTAAAAATTGCACTTAGTAAGGCTTGTAGTGTACAATGACATATGTGGGAGGGACTGGAAGCGGAGTTTGCCATTTTTGAACAATTTTTGTTTTTCGCTTTCTATGATCGGAAAAATTCGGCAAAAGCATATTTGAGCACTACTATTGTCTACCGCGTAATGACCAAATTGGAGGTCCGTCGGGCTTTTCCTCGCGAAAATCCAGTTCTCAGATGACAATTTTTTTCGATTTTCGCTTTAAACTTTATTTGAGAAACGACTTAGGCGGGCCCTTGGTGCTTTTTTTGTAGAGCTTGATCTGCTCTATCGAACGATACTCCAATCTACCAGTAAAGCTAAAACAGCTTAAATTATTCAAAAAAGGAGTTTATTTTTGGGACAACCTAATAGTTTGTAGTGGTGCCTCTTAGAGCATGCACTAACATCCCCGCTAGGGAGGGAATCGCAGCTTAACCTGAAACTCCAAAAATGTGGTTTTCATGGTGTCTACATATCTTCTAGTATTCCTACCATCCTTCACCATAAAATGAACGAGAGCAAGAAGCTGTATAAGCCGCATTTTCCAGCTTTTGTATGTTGCGTCCGTCACAGTTGTGCGGGCTACTGGTGTTATGGTGGACTGAAGACTCCCGACGAAGACGAATTGTTCGAAACGTTGAGTCAATAAAGTTCCACCAAACAACCTGGTTTCGGCATAAAGAAAATCTTATACAGCTTTTGTATGATTCTTTTTTCGAAGTCAACGGAAAAATTTCAAAGTTGTGCTGCTTATCTGATCTAACAGCGCTAGACTGTGACACCCGCCGGGCCCCGGCGGGTGTCACAGTCCACTTTTCGTTATCGATCGATGTCGACTTTTTCGATTTGTTGCAAAATTTGAGCTACGGGGCTGGAAGTTGGCAGAGGGGTGTAATCGAGCATGGGGATTCCGAATACAATATTAGTTTTCGAAACCGTGCATTACTTTTATCGATTTTATCGATTTTTTGCAAAATTTGAGCTAGGAGGCTGGGAGTTGGCAGAGGGGTGTAATCGAGCATGCTGATCACCCCCGTGGGGAAAATCGAAAAAGTCGACATCGATCGATAACGAAAAGTGGACTGTGACACCCGCCGGGGCCCGAAGGGTATGTGTGCCAAGTTTGGTCCGGATCGGTTAAGAAATGGAATTTTCTATTTGGAACATACGGCGGAGCCGGGTAAGCCAGCTAGTTATATATAATACCCAAAGGCCGCAAATTTATTTCATGTTCATCAAAGAAATCTAAGTAGACCCAGAGCCTGAAAGTTTACCCTCTGTAAATAGGGCACGGCGGATATAGTTGGCTACTTTTTGCAGGATTTTTCTGACACTTTTTATTGAATT